CGCCAGGCGCTGGGGTGGGGACTCGAGGGCCCAGCTGGTGGCGGGGTGATGGCTAAGTCGGCGACGGCCGGGATCGGGGCTGCTCCGCACCCCCAGGCATTACGGGTAGGGGAATTGAGGACTCTCCGGCCCGGGGCTGCCCCTCGCGCCCTTCACCCCTGGAGGGACACGAGCACCCCAGGGGCGCTGGAGCTCCATCCGAACCCCTTGGTGAGCACTAGGGTTCGCTGCTTGGACAAAGGCGGGAAGGGGGAGGCACCCACTTCCCCTTCCTTTTCTGCCGGGCGTTCTCCTCGCCCTCAGGCCCACGTCAGCTATTTTTTGGAGCTTTTACTCGACAGCTTGGTGAAGTGTCCTTTTGTTCGGCTGCCACTCCCCTCCCCCTCTGCCCCTGTGGCTGCTCCCAGGCGCCGTCCGGGGCCCTCTCCTTAGCTCGACCTGGCCTTTTCTTGCCGCCCGCCGAGATCGGCTGGTTCAGAGGCCTTGCCTGGCTAACCCGGCAGCGGAGATTTGGCCGCGAGCACGAGCAAAGTGTGGCTTTCTACGATCGCTCTGCCACGTCTGGGCCACCTTCCGCTCCTTGTTTGGGAGAGAAAAGGCACAGTAAGCGGCACTTAGCCTGAGCCTCTATGACCACCGCGAGCTGCCCAGCCTGGCATGTGGGCATTGCCCTGGTTACCCCACGCCTTGCTGCAAAAGGCAGGAACAATTTAGGTCTCTGGGCCTTTTTGGATGCCTGTTGCCACGGAAACCCCTCTCCGGGCCTGGCCCTGAGTCCCTCAGGGACAGCCAGGAGAGTGAGGGAGAGGGTGGGGCCCCGAGCTAGTCCTGACCCAGTAGGTGGGTAATCTTTAACTTAACCAAGTGTGGGAGCAGCTGACCAGAGCTGGGGCCGTCCCCACACCCTGCCAAGGAGAAAGGGGCATTTCTGCTCTCCTACTCTGAGCCTAGAAGAGGTCAGCCTCGAAACATTTGCCTTCAGCAACATATCATAGACGTGAGATACATTTTCCACCCCCCCTTTTTGCATTGATGGCAAAGAAGAGAAAGCAAAACCAAAACAGAAAACTACACTAACAAGAATTTGGATACAGATGAAAAAAAGCAGTCAGTTGCAGGTCCTTCTAGAACTCCCCAAGTAGAGTGGCTATGTATGGGGAAAACAAATGTCTGCTGTTTGAGTTGGACATCGGACTCTACAGTTTAGACCGCTCCAGCTTGTTACCTGGCAACGCTGCTGAACCGAGACACTTGGCATTCCCCTTGAGGACAAGGAAAGAATTTTTTTTGGCTAAAAAGATCCTGTGTCTTTGCTCTCCGGTCATTTCCACACGTGTCTCTATAACTTTCAGCGCTCAGTGACTGCTGCTGGTGAGTCTGATAAGCTCCAGCTTGAGGCAGGAGTACCTCGCCTTTCTTTATTCTGCTCCTGTCCAGGAACAACTTAATTTTCTCACCTTGCCCCTTAACATTTCAGTCTTCTTGGTGCTTGTCTGCACTCCTAGATTCCAGGGCAAATTATTTGGTGACCATTTTGCCCACATGGCTGTAGAGTTCTCTGCTGAGCCTTGTTTCACTGGGGTCAGATAAGACTCCAGTTACTCCTGGGCCTGGGATTTAGCTCAGTGGTTCTGCCCCCTGCCTTGAAAGCACAACGTCCCAAGTTGATCCCCAGTACCAAAAAAAAAAAAAAAAAGACTTGAGCTCCAACCTCCATGAGTCCTCTTCCTTAGCTGGTCCCAGAGCTTGTGTTCAGGCCCTGTAGGTGTTGAGGGGAGGCCTCTGGGAAGCATGGGCCTGGCCCCGAGTCTTCTGAGTGAGGTTGAGGGTGTGCAGTGCTAGAAACTGCCCTCCCATTGCCAGAAGCCGGGTCTGGGGACTGCCCTGGGTTCTGCTGTGTAGACCCATGTTACAAGTGTCCTCAGATTGCTTTTATTTTTGGTGCTGAGATTGAAATGCTGAGCATGTGCTCTGTTGACCAGAACTGTCCAGCCCCAGACTCCAACTAGGAACATAGTTGGCTGTGAGTGTCCAGGGCAAGGCCCATGGCCTGGCAGACCTCTCCTGCCCCTCTGCACTTCTGGCATGAACTCCCTCCCATGTGAAACCTCCCCTCGGAGGGAAAAAGGGCAGGAAGCTGAGAGCTGCCTGAGCTGTTATAATTTGACCTTCAATTATGCTTTCAACAAGTGTAGTGCTCCTTTGTTGGACCCTGGGCACGGTGCTGAGGACACAGCTGGAATAAGAGTGGCAAGGACGTCTGGGAGGGGACAGATAGTGACCAAGATAGTGCAGTGTAGGGCTGGGGATTTAGCTCAGTGGCACCACACCTGTCTCGAAAGTGAAAGGTCCTGAGTTCAGTCCCCAGTGTGTGTGTGTGTGTGTGTGTGTGTATGTGTGTGTGAAGAGATAGTGCACTGTACGGTCACAGGAGCTGAGGGGAAAAAATAGAAAGGGAAGGTGTGAGTATCTGTGTATGAGTGTATGGACAGGTCAGCCGGAAAAGACCTCAGTGCAGGAAAGGAGGAGGGAGGAAGCAGGCTACCTAGGGGTCAGGGAAAAGGGACCTACTTGTGCCCAGGCCTTGGTGGGGAGCAAGAGCAGGGGCTGGGGTGGCTCAGCCGCACTGGTGAGTGACAGATGGGGTTCCTTGGTGGTTCCCCAGGGCTCTGGCTGCTCAGGGCCTTGCACATGCTAGGCACCTGCTGTACCGCTGAGCCACGAACCCAGCTTCTAGGCCATTTCTGAGGACTGTGGCCTTTATTGGGAGTGGAAAAGGAGGCTTTTCAGGGTTTTGAGAGCAGTGCCATGCCCGACTTTCACTCTAACGGGATCCCCCTGGCTTCAGGGGCCTGATAGGAGGTGACAGTCACAGCCTACCGAAGAGAGGGTGACAGTATCGGGGTAGGAGAAAGTGGCTAGACATGGGATATATTTGAAGAGCAAGCCACTAGGATTTGCTGCTGGCTTGAATGTGGGTGAGAGGAGGGCGCTGCTCAGGACGATACTCCAGGCTTCTGCTGGGAGTCCAGGCTCCCCTATATTTGGTCCGTGTTGGGACTTCATGGTAGGAATGTGGAGGAAGCTGTTCTGCTTGGGACACACCCTGGGGAGGGAGCTCCAGGCATCCGATCTGAAAGAAACTGTTTTGAAAGCTTTCCTCAGTGTGGACGAGGGGGAGGAGGCCCACGGCCACTTGTGACTGGTGTAATTCTGTCCCATACTCTTGCCAAGAGCAGTCAGGTGGAGATTCCTGGCAGCTGTCACTTTGGATGTCACAGGGAGCTTGTGTTGCTTCTTATATTTCAGATTGTTTGTCACCCTGTCTCCCTGAGAGGGACAGCACAGCAGTGTCTTCATCATATGGGCAGCCAGGGGTCTCAAGCTCTGAGACCTGGGGCACCTAGCCCACCCTTACCAGCATGTGAGGGGGGAACCTCATTCTTCAAGACAGGTTACATAGGGGCTGGGGATTTAGCTCAGTGGTTCTGCCACCTACCTCGCATGTTCAAGGACCTGAGTTCAATCCCCGGTAACAACAAAAAAAAGACAGGCTGCATATCTAGATTTTTATGTGAAAATCTGCATTTTGTGGGGGAGGGGCTGGTTTATATTCTGTTTGTATTAATTTTTTTTTAAATCCATAGATTTGGCTCAGTTGTTCCACCCCCTGCCAGGCAAGCACAAGGGTCCGAGTTTGATTCCCGGTACACACACACACACAAAAACCCATAGCATATTTTACCATCTTAACTGTTTTCAAATGCTCAGGGAAGTCTTTGCCCATGTTATTTGTTAAACTGTTATTTGTTTAAAAAAACAAACAAACAAACTGCTATTTGTTATTTGCTTTATCAATGCATTCAGTCTCCTTAATTTTAAACCTTGGTCCCCAGAGATTATCTTACAAACCCTTTGCGGGGGTCAGACAGGATGAGACCCTGCTGGGTGGGCTTGGGCACACATCTCTGTCTCTGCTTCTCCAGAGTGTGCCTTCAGGGAGGCCACAGCCTCCTGACTTGGGTAACAGCACTACTTGCTCCTGACTGTCACCTGTAGGTGTCCCCATCCAATGTATCCTCCCTGTTAGGGGCACTCCCATGTCTTAGGCATTTCGGAATACCATGGGAAAGGTGCTTGGAACCCTCTGTTCTCTGAGGACTCAACACCTCTGTGTACATCAGGGTCCCCTTGGAGGAGGTGGGGCACCCCAGGCTTGCAGGCTGAAGCCCCATCCCTGGAACCAGGTGAGTCTGAAACCTTTGGAATTGGCGCATAGATGGGTCCTCCTTATGATACAGGGTTAGGTTTTTTTAAAAAAACTTGATTAATTGTTCTTAACTCATAGAAGGTGCTTGTAAAAGCTAAGCTACCTTGCCTGTATTCCCAGGATTTTGGGAAGCTGAGGCAGGAGGATGTTAAGTTCGAACTCATCCTGGGCAATTTAGCAATTTAAAGGAGGACCTGTCTGAAAAAAAAAAAAAAAACCTTTTTTTAAAGTCAGGCTATGTAACTCAGTGTGAAGACTTCAGTGCCCCGGCCAAATAAACAAACCTAAAACAAGCAAACAATAGCCTAGCACATCTGAAGGCCCCAAGGCCCTTCCTATACACACTCCAGACCAAAGTAAAGGAATTTTTAAAAATTTATTTTGTAGGTACTAGGGATTAAACTCAGGCTCTTGTGCTTTTGAGGCAGGCAGCAGAACCGCTTGAGCCAAATCCCCAAGTAAAGGAACTTAGTAGCTTGCGTTCTAAATCCTCACAGCATCTAAGGGGGCAGTGGAGTGGCCCTTCGGTTTCCTAGAAAACAAGCTATTTCCTATCTGCCTTTGCCTCTGCCTTCTCTGTATTTGGGCCTCGAAAGACTTCGGGGGCAGCCCCTGAGCCAGACCCCTGGGCTCTGTCTTGCCTGTGACACACCCACTCTTGGGGCCTCTCTTTTTTCTCCCTAAATTATCTTTAAGATTCTTTGTAAATTAAAAAAAAAATCTGTTTGCACTTACTTGGAGAGTGAGTTCTCTTGGTATACATGATTTAAGGATTTTTAAGGGTAGGGGTGTAGCTTAGTGGTGAGCCCTTGCCTAACATGTTCCATGCCCAGTACCCCCAAAAAAGGAAAAAACAAAAAGAACAGAACATACTTTGAGTTTTTTCTTTTTCTTAGAGATAGGGGAAAGTCACTGTGACTCATGATCATTATATGTTTTATAGGACAATGATGCTTGAGATCTGTTGGGCTTTGGTTGCTTGTTTTATTTTTAAAAATATACCTGTATGTAATTTTTTGTCCCACTGAGGAGTCAGTGCAGGACCCTGACACTGCACTACATCCCCAGCCCTTTTGATTTTTTAATTTTGAGAGTGGATCTCTCAGTGGGGCTTAAATTTATGATCCTTTTGCTTCAGGCTCCCAGAGTGCTGGGATTACCGGGGTGTTTGAGGCTTGGTCACTTGTTTTAAATGTACTGAAGTGACCATACCTTTTTGGTTTGCAGTGCTGGGGATGGGACCCAGGTCCTACAGCCCCAGCCCCTGGCTCAGTTCCCTAGTAGACACTTCTCCCCTCACCTGATATGTTGCTTTGAGACATGCAAGGACATCTGTGAGGAATGTGTGGAGCTGGGTTCTAAGGGAGGCGCCGAGTACTCCTTCAGGGAAGGCATGGTTCTCGCCAGCCTGCTGGATGGGTCCCAGTCGTGGGTGACATTTCCTGATAACTAAGGTTTGGCTACTGCTTCTCCCCAGGCCACAGGCAGAGTGCTGTGGCCCAGTCTGCTGCAGGCCGAGGTGCAGCCTGCCTCGGCCCTGGTGGCTGGCAGTTATCAATGACGTGGATCATTTCCCTGAGTTTTCTTTGGAATTCACTTTGAACTCAGGACCTTGCGCTTGCCAGGTGGGATCTGTGCTGATGAGCTACATCCTGGCTCCAGAATTCACTTCTTGTGAGGCAGGCTTCCCTTGAAGAGCCTCCTTCCCCATTCCCTCTGTGCCGCCTCCCAAGACCCCTCAACAGCTACTGTCGAGTCCTCTGAAAGGACTCCGCTCTCAAAGGACTCTCCAGCCTGGGCCTAGACCTGGCTTCCTGTTCTTCCCTCTGGCCTAGGTCCCAAGCCCTCCTGGCACTGCTGGTTTCCAACTCTGTACCATTGGGCAGTAACCTGTCTGAGCCTCAGTGTCCTCACTTTTTTTTTTAGTGCTCAGGCTCAGGCTTGAACTAGGGCCTTGTGCATACTAGACAAGCACTGTACACCTCCAACTCCAGTTTTCCCACATTTAAAGTAGAGATAATGATTTCCCCCTGGGGCTATTTTGGGGCTGTAGGGCAGTCAGACACACAGCATAGCTTACAGGATTACAAGGAAAACTATGAAGAACCAAGTGTTGGACAGGAGGCAAGTGGCCAACCTTGCAGAACTGGGTGGCCAAGCCCTGGTCAGCTCCAGGAGGCTGCAATTCTCTCTGTTGGTCTCCTCCATCTCAGTTTCCAGATCTGCTGGCCAGGCTGGTCCAGCCCCTTGCCCTGGGGTGGCTTGGGTGGCTCTCTGGCCAATCCTGCCTGGCCATACTCCACGGGAACCCCGGTCAGGGAGCTGTGTTTACAGAGGGGTATAGCACTGGGCACCTGAGGCCTGATATCTCCTCTCCTCCTCTCTTCTCCTCTTACTTCCCTCCCTCTTTCCCCCTGCTTCCCTCTCGCCCTCCCTCTCTCCCTTCCCTCAGTGTGGGGTGGCTGTGGCCAGGGCTTGACAGGCTATGTGTGCCCCTTCCAGATGCTGACAAGAGGATCAAGGTGGCGAAGCCATTGGTGGAGATGGACGGCGATGAGATGACCCGCATCATCTGGCAGTTCATCAAGGAGAAGGTAGTGTCCTTCCCCAAAGTGGCAGGTCCAAGTGTCTGGTCAGGTAAACGTCTAGTCCCATGAGGATGTAGGTCCCCTGATCTCACCCGTCATGCTGGAAGACAGCATCAGTCCTGTTCTCATCTCTGCCACCTGTCTCCTTCTGGGGACCTCTAATAGGTCCTGTTATCAGGCAGGGTTCTGCCCCTAGCCGAGCATCTCAGGCTGGTGCTCAAGCTGCATGACTTCAAACCATTTATTTTGAAGACAAGGGTCTCACTGTATTGCCCAGGGTGGCCTTGGGCTCCTGGGCTCAAGTGATCTTCCTGCCTCAGCCTCCTGAGTAGCTAGGATTGTGGACGTGGTACCCTTTGCTGTGCCCCATCTGTGACCTCCCCTCATCCTCTCCTTGACCATTGTTCCCTGGAACAGCCCGAGATTTCTCAAGCCCTGGTGTCCCATCCTGGGTCACAGTCACTGGGGCTGACACCTTGCCCCACCCTCCTCTCCAGCTCATTCTGCCCCATGTGGATGTCCAGCTCAAGTACTTCGACCTTGGGCTCCCACATCGTGACCAAACCAATGACCAGGTCACCATTGACTCTGCACTGGCCACCCAGAAGTACAGCGTGGCTGTCAAGTGTGCCACCATCACACCCGATGAGGCCCGTGTAGAAGGTGCGAGGGTGTGGGGTGGGGGACGAGGGTCTTGGGAGGTCATTGTGGGAGCGCCTGCTGGACAGCGGGTCCCCGAGGTCACTATGGACTTGGCTGGGAGAGGAATGGTTACGGGGTGACCTCGGTCTCCGTGGTGAGGTGCACAGAGCCAAGCCCAGACTCCATGTTCTCCAGCACGCAGGGCGATGTGCTGTGTGGATCCAACAGCGGCAGGGTCGTCAGGCACAGGGAGGAGGAGATGAGGCTGGGTAAGGAAGTGTTGATGGTGTCACAGTAACAGTGGCTTCTCTGGACGGCCCCTCTGTCTGAACCTGGGCACAGTGGCTGTTCAGAGGGCAGCCGTGAGTTCAGAGCCTTCGAGGTCTCTGAGGAATATGGCTAATGTCCTCTACCACTGTCCTGGGCTCACAGTGTCCCTGCCCTGAAGGTCATTGACAGACCTGGGTCACCTGCTGAACCTGGTTCTAGGGGCTGCTCTGGAGCACCAGTGTGTAGATAATTCAAGAAAGGGGTGAGTTAGGGCTGGGCATCATGGTGCGTAGCTATAATCCTAGCTACTTAGGAGGTTTGAGGCCAGCCTGGGCAACTTAACAAGATGTTTTCTAAATGTTTAAAAAGGGTTAGGAGTAGAGCAATGAATCTTCTCCCTAATTCCTGCAGCCTGAGGGAGCCGGCTGGAAGAATTTAGGAAACATCTGCAGCCTCTTCTGGCTATCTCCTACCTGACCTTCCAGGCCAGCCTGGCCACACAATACTGGAGTCGGTGCTGAGCTCTTGGCTCTGTCCCAAATTCTGGGATTTTTATAGCCTCATTTTATGGAGAAGGAAGTAGAAGGCCCAGCATTAGGGGCTCAGGCACACACCTGTAGGGAACACAGGTGAGCCACATTAGATGCAGCCACCTCCATGCGGGCTGTGGGGATGACATGAACAGAACACGTGCTGTGTGTGAGGCACGGGGCCCTCTACACTCAGCAGCCCAGGCCGAGGCACTGTGGCAATTGCAGTTTATAGCACAGGCTCCACTACTACTCAGAACTGGAGGCTTCACACCGAAGAGGCTCCTGCCTCCCCTGCTGGCACCATCACCCCCATCTGGTGTGTGTTGCTCAGGGTTTGAGTCCTGGATAGAAGCTGGGGCTGCAGGGGCCACTTCATCTCTGTCCCCAGAGTTCAAGTTAAAGAAGATGTGGAAGAGTCCCAACGGGACCATCCGCAACATCCTTGGGGGCACGGTCTTCCGAGAGCCCATCATCTGCAAAAACATCCCGCGCCTGGTCCCGGGCTGGACCAAGCCCATCACCATTGGCAGGCACGCACACGGTGACCAGGTAGGCAGCAGGGACACGACTGGGACCGAGGGCCCCAGGAGCCCCCGGCCTGACCAAACAACTCTCTTTCTCTGCAGTACAAGGCCACCGACTTCGTAGTGGACCGTGCTGGCACGTTCAAGATGGTCTTCAACCCGAAGGATGGCAGCGGGGCCAAGGAGTGGGAGGTGTACAACTTCCCCGCAGGCGGCGTGGGCATGGGCATGTACAACACTGATGAGGTAGGCCCAGTTCCTCCTTCCCTGCCGCCTCCCCATCCCCTTTCCTCATTGGCGGCCATTGTCACTCCAGGCTTATGCCTTGCCTGTTAGAAAAGTGACCCCACACATGCACCAGGCCCCCCAGCACGGTGGGAGAATGAGGCAGGAGTATCACAACTTCTGACCCATCCTAGGCAACTTAGCAAGGTTCTGTCTTAAAATAAAAAATTTAAAGGCTGGGAAGGTAATTCATTGTGAAGGCCCTGGGTTCAACCTCAGCTCTGCAAAAAGAAGAAGAGGAAGAGGAAGAAGAAAAAAGGAAGGAAAAGAACGCCTCTTTGCGGCTCCTAGTTTCAACTAGAGGGCCAGGAGTGGGTCATGTGACCTTGTCAGCCAATCATAGCCCCAGGGGAAGAAGGGCTCTGAATAAACCAGGAAGAAAGGCTCTGATTGTCTAAACTGGGACACAGCCTAGATTAGCAGTAGGTTGGTGAACTGGGGACATTTCCCCTATGCCAGCCACGTGGCCCATAAGCTTTGGGGCAGAGGAGGTAGCTGTCCAAAGTAAAAGGGGATACTCTGCTTGCTCCTGGAAGTTGGAAATTCAGAGAGTGGTCATGAGCCAGGGAAAGAACAGATGCCCCCTTGGTGGTGCCTGGGACTATATAGTCTTGTGGAGGTGGGGGTGTTGTTTGGGGGAGCTGGCGATCCCCAGGCCAGGCGACCATGCCGGGCCCTCTCTTCCAGTCTATCTCAGGTTTTGCGCACAGCTGCTTCCAGTACGCCATCCAGAAGAAGTGGCCGCTGTACATGAGCACCAAGAACACCATTCTGAAGGCCTACGATGGGCGCTTCAAGGACATCTTCCAGGAGATCTTTGACAAGTAACAACCTCTTCCTTTGTGGCTTCCTGAGGACCCCACACCTGCCTTCCTGTGCTGTCCCTGTCCTCCCTGGGGAAGCCACTCACTCCGTGCATTGGGCTCAGCTCTGAGGCTCAGGGAGGGTCCCCAACCTGCCAGACTTCTGTCCTCTCCCCACACAAAGTAGGTCTCTCTGCTCCCAGGCACTACAAGACGGACTTTGACAAGCATAAGATCTGGTATGAGCACCGGCTCATTGATGACATGGTGGCCCAGGTCCTCAAGTCCTCTGGTGGCTTTGTGTGGGCCTGCAAGAACTACGACGGAGACGTGCAGTCGGACATCCTGGCACAGGGTATTCGGGGGACCTGGTCCCCATAGGGGTGCACTGTTGCTCTTCTCTGGCTGGGGATTTTCAGACCCTCTCGTAGAAAACTTGAGGGTGTGGCAGGATTCATTGAAGGCCCTTCTCTGTCATCTTAAGTCCAAGGTCCACAAAAGAGGTTTGGACTGGTGTGTTACTAAAGCTATCCTTGTAGAGGAAAGGACATGGAAACTGAAGTCCCAAAGGGCTAGGTTGTCAGCTTGAAGGTCGCTCCTATCTGAGATGGGCATCAAGCTGGACTGGGTGCTTTTGGGGGGGCGGGCTGGGATTGAACTTGGGTCCTTGTACTTGTGAGGCAGGTGGCAGAACCACTGAGCTAAATCCCCAGCCCTGGACTGGGTGCTTTTTGTTCCTTTTGGTGGTAACAGGAGTTGAACCCAGGGTCTTCACACTGAGCTACATTCCCGGCCGTCTTTTTTATTTTATTTTATTATTTTGAGACTGGGTCTTGCTAAGTCACTAAGTTGCCCCAGCTGAGCTTGAACTTGTGGTTCTCCTGCCTCTGCCTTCCAGAGTGCTGAGTTTGTAGGCATGTACCACAACTGGCCAGGATTGGATGCTTAAGTGACAGGAGTGTCCTGTGCCTGATAATCCTCTGGGACCTAGGAGAGTATCAGGGGAGATGGCAAACTTCTGGCTTTATCTTGAGAAGTACATTAGTGATCGTTTCATCAGAAGAGTCCTGTCTAGGAAGGAAGGATAGAAAGCCTGGCAGGGATTGGGATGCAGCTCGATGGTAGAGTCTGTTTAGCAGGCAGGAGGTGAGGCCCTGGATTCAGTCTCAGCATTAAACTAGAAGCCAGATGATAAATGTGAAAAATGTTAAATGTATAAGGAGTGTGGAGGTCCAGGTAAGATGGAAAAGGATTCCCACACACAGCAGAGATCTGGAGGCAAGCCATAAAGGTTGCTCTTTCTTCGTCGGGCTTTCACAGTTCTTATTTGGTTAATTTTAAAGCCCTGAGGTCCTTGATAATAGGAAAGGTCGTTTGAGGGCCAGGGATTTAGCTCAGTGGTTCTGCTGCTTGCCTTGCAAGCACAAGGACCCTATTTCGATCCCTGGTACCAAAACAAAAGAAAGAAGAAGAAAAAAGAAAAGGTCATTTGAAGCCAGTCATGGTGGCACAAGCCTGTAAGCTACTTGATAGGCTGAGGCAGGAAGATCACATATTTTGAGGCCAACCTGGGCAATTTAATGAGGTTGTATCTCAAAAATAATGTTTTGGGTATAGCTCTGTGGTAGAGGACTTACCTAGCATGTGGGAGGACTTGGACTCCATCCCTAAGATCACAAAACAAAAAACAGAAAAGGTCATTTGAGCCTGGCATCTCAGTTTGGGGAACCTTGGAAATAAATCACAGAGCTTGGAAGTGGCTTATCAGCAGCCGGAAAAGTGAACATGGCAATGACTGGCAGCAGCTTTGTGTTTTCTGCTGGAGGCTGCAGTACTCTGCAGGGGTCTTGATCCTGTGGGCCACAGGCTCTGGGTATCCAGAGGGACACGCAAATGGTGTTCGCGGTTCATGTTAGCCAACCTGAAGGGCTGCTCTGCCCTCTGATAGGCCTGCATACCCAGCACAAGGGTGGGACGCTCTAGGAAGTCCTTGTCCTCTCTGTGCCATCGAGGAAGGTGGGGGCATGAGGAGTGGCCCTGCTGATCTGCACTGTGTGTGGGCACTGAGAAATGGGTCCCTAACCTGCAGGCTTTGGCTCCCTTGGCTTGATGACATCTGTGCTGGTCTGCCCGGATGGGAAGACCATCGAGGCAGAGGCTGCTCACGGGACCGTCACTCGCCACTATCGAGAGCACCAGAAGGTATGTGTGAGCCGTGTGGCCGCAAGATGCCATACACCCTGGGGTCAAAGCTGCTGGCCCTGGTGGCCGGAGGACAGGCCTATCAGTCTTGGGGTGGGCAGCTGCATCTGGGGGACTCTGCTCTGATCCCCTGAGGTCTGTCCCTAGGGCCGGCCTACCAGCACCAACCCAATTGCCAGCATCTTTGCGTGGACACGTGGCCTGGAGCACCGGGGGAAGCTGGATGGGAACCAGGACCTCATCCGGTGAGTGTGGAGCAGTGTCAGGCTTGGGATCCTGCCCAGCATGACAGGGGCTCACTCTGCTGCCCCTGCAGGTTTGCGCAGACACTGGAGAAAGTGTGTGTGGAGACCGTGGAGAGTGGAGCTATGACCAAGGACCTGGCAGGCTGCATTCATGGCCTGAGCAAGTATGTGACCCCGGGGACAGGGTGGGGTTGGCTTTGTGGGAGGAAGCTGGGACCTCACTCAGAGCCATCCCTGGGTCAGGGTAGCTCGGGGGCATGGAACAGGACACATGTAGCCCTGGGGAGCAGCTCAGATCAATCTGCAGATAGGGCTGGGGGAGGTGGTCAGTCCCTGTTGGCCAGCTGCTCAGAGCCTTTGTCCACCTCTGAGCCTCTCCCTGGAGTGCTGGGCCCAGTGACTTGTCTCCTAGAAAAACAAAGACCCTGCCAGGTTTCTGCGGGATTCACTGTGGCCCTTTGGCAGCGGGTGCCAGGTGACCTGGGCAGCCTACGAAGGCCTCAATGTGAGTGGTGTCTCTCTCCCGCAGTGTGAAACTGAACGAGCACTTCCTGAACACCACAGACTTTCTGGACACCATAAAGAGCAACCTGGACAGAGCGCTGGGCAAGCAGTAGGGAGGCACTGCCAGCCTCAAGTGCCCCTGGCAGGGCGAGTGACCATGGCTCCCATGGTCATGCAACTTGGGTGAGATTCACAGCCCTCTCTGGAAGTCTGTCCAGGGGACATTTTTTATAAGTGAGATGTTTTTAAGAGAATTGCGTGTTTCCCCTCTTGGTGGCGTGGGGCAGGAAGTGTGCTTTACCTCAGCAGCCAATGTGTCCTGCACACTGTAATTTATATTGCCCTTGGAACACATGGTGCCATATTTAGCTACTAAAAAGCTCTCCACAAAACTGTCTGCTGTGTTTGTTCCTGAGGAGGAGGAGGAGGAGGCAGCGGCCCTGGAAGAGTCTGTGACACAGTAGGGATGGGTGAGGCTGCCACAGCTCCACAGCAGGCCAGTTGGGGGCCGCCCCAGGGTGAGGACTGGGGCCAGGCCATGTGTGGGCCTTCCTGGCCTGAGCTGCTGCTAGACTGTGGGGAGATGGGCCTGCAGGTTCCTGGTTTCCTAGCACTATCCAATTCCACCTGCTTTCTGCTGGGATTGTATTACTTCCCGAAAGACTGGATCCTCATGTTTCTTTCCTTGTTGGTTTTAACCTGAACATCTCCAGGCCTCTACTTGCTCTTCTCTGTAATGAAACAGGCTCTCCTGGGGCCTGTGTGTGGGTACAGAGACTCCATAACCCAGGCTAGAAAGTTCCCAGTTTTCATTTTTACATTTTAGCAGAACTAGAAGAGGCGATAAAAAGTTGCCTCGGAGTTATACATTTTCAATTTAAAGCACTTTTCTCTACACAGATTATATTTCTGCTCTTCGGTGTGAAATGTCTACAGAAGAGTGGAACAGTCTTCACTTCATGAGATAGGTGTAGTCAGTCAGCTTCTGTATCCAAAGGTGCCACATCTGTGTATTGAACCAACCTCGGATTGAGACTATTTGGGAAGAAAAATTGCATCTGTACTGAACATATATAGACTCTTGCCTTGTAATTACCCCTCAACAACAGTGTAACAACTCTGTGTAGCATTTACATTGTCACAGGTATTACAAGTCAGCTAGGGACAATGTAAAGTATAGAGGAGGATATAAGCAGATTCTGTATTATTTAAGGGGCTTCAGTCCCTTTGATTTTGGTGTCCATGGATTGGGGGTCCTGGAGTTGACTTGCCATCAACACCAAGAAATAACTGTACTTAGTAACCTGAAGATTGGTGAGGTTCTCGTGGCTCCTGAAACCCTGTGGTTGAGAATTTTTTTGAGGGGTTGGGGATGGGGGTGATAGTGGGGACTGAACCCATGGCACTGCATTGTGCACCTAGCTCTGTTTTATTTTTTTGAGACAGGGTCTTGCTATGTTCAGGCTGGCCTTGAACCCACTGTGTAGCCTAAGCTGGCCTCAAACTAACAGCAATCTTTCTGCCTCAGCCTCTCACACCTGGCTCTTTTTTATTTTTTGAGATAGCATCTTGGTAAATTGCTAAGTTACCCAAGTTGGGCTCCGATTTGGCTCTTCCTACTGTGTTGGGATCACAGGCGTCTACCTACTTGCCTGGCTGGGAACCACTGTACTTTTTTTTTGGTACCGGGGATTGAACTCGGGCCCTTGTGCTTGCGAAAATCCCCAGAACCTTGTTCTTGATGCCCTGGTAGCTGGGATTGGCTCCAGTCCCCTGCCCACACCAGCAGCCCTCTTCTTCGTGGGTAGTCTCCTCAGATTCCTGGCTTCAGGAGGAAGAGCTGGAATGCCGGCTGTCCTGGAGGAAGCTGAGAACTTCGGGCCTCTGCTTGCCTGTCATTAGAAGGCATCCTCTGAAGCTCAGCCTGGCACTGCCAGCTGGCTTCTGTCCTGGGGCTGCGGGGGTGGGGAGGGAAGGAAGCAGCTTTGGGAACTCCAGGGCTTTGCCTGCACTTGGCACTGTAGGTGGTCACTCCTGAGCCAGGGCCAGGGACGGTCCTCATCCCTGGACAGTGACAGGCTCTTCTCTGTGTGGTCCAGAAGCCTTGATAGGACTTCCGGTGGCAGGGCCCCATGAGCTGCGCAAAGAAGCACTTGCAGTCACCTCACTAAAGAATATTCATTTATTTATAATTATTGCTAAGTAAACTTCTCTCTTAAACAGGAACATAAAAACACAGTAGGGCTTTGCACAAGTGGGGTCTCTAAACGGTCGGTTTGTATACATGTGAAAATAAGTTAGAGTGGAATCCGTCCAGGAGTCTGCAAGTCACCCGAGAGGCCGGAGGGGTGAGGGCCGGAGCTTGGCCGAGGCCGCCCCGCTAGACTGGAGTGTGCTGTCTGCTCCCTTCGCGTTGCCCAGGTACAAGGCACGGGGCAGGGGCGTTCAAGTAGGAGCCTTGCGGGGGGCAGTGCCAGGGTGCCAGGAGGAACGGGGAGGAGAAGAGGAGACCCAGCTTCCAGGACTGCACCCAGGCGCTGGCAGGAGGGAGAGGGAGGAAGAAGGGGTTTTTTTTTGTTGTTTTTTGGTACCAGGGAGAAAGACATTGTGGGAAGAGGTAGTTTGCAGGGGTGATGCTTTCTGCTCAGCAGGAGAAAATGTCTTGTACAGTGACGCCGGAGTCACTGCCACCTGAGGGTCATCATGGCGGGCACCTGGGAGGCTAGAGGGGGGCGGGGTTGGGGGCCTGGGGAACCACACTGGGGGACGTGTTTACCCCCAGCCCTGATCCGACCATCACTCTGAGGCCTGGCTTGGGCCTGTGCTGAGGGATACAGCTTCGGGGACAGCCCTGCTGTGTCCCTCCTGGTGTCACCTGTGCCTGTGGGGACAGCCCTGCCTGGCCCTCCCACTGAGCCTGGGGGGTGAGCGGCAGAGTTGGGCACCCTGGAGTTCCTGAATGTGCTGTTCCACTGCCCGGGGGAGGCAACAACAGTAGGTGGGTGACGGAGGGAGAGCCCCAGCTGCCGAGCACAGGTGCAGTTCAAAGCCCATCTCTGGCCATCCCTACCTCCAGGCCGGAGAGCCTGTGTCCCGCTGGGCCAGGCTGCCCTGGGCTGGGAGGCTCAAAGCACACACAGCACACAAGAAAGCTTATGTGTGGAAAAAGAAAACGCATCTCCATCCGAAAGGATAATAGGCGACACAGTTTCAAAGAAAAAAAATAATAAATTACCTTCAAAATACCCCCATTTGTTCAAAAATTTTTGTTTTCCTCTATGGTCTTGATTTTCCTTTTTAAATACGTTGCTCTTTCCCAAGAGCCTGCTAACTTGTGGCTAACCCCATTTCAGCAACTAAGGTCCCTCTTCCCCCACAGGTGGGCCTCAGCCTCCCCTGAGCACGGCCTCTCCTGTCTCTAGGGTTACTGCACCTTGCCCTGCTCCATCTGTCTCAGATCGTGTGTGCCTGACCCAAGGTTGTCCTGGTTTTGTGTGGCACCCGAGCCCCGGAGAGAACTGGATGACATTTGTCAGAATCTGCTTTAAGGGTGCTCACTCCAAACAGAGCTGCAGAACAGGCTCAAGGGGCGGTGGGAGGCATAGTATCTGGCTTTCCTACAGGCTGGCAGGGCTCGGGCATGGGGGAGGCCCCGAGGTAGAAGGCAGAGGGCCCTGCCTGGCTGTCTGGTGACTGGGTGGGGTGACCAGGTGGGCACAGGGCCTGGGACCTTGAGGTCTGGGCAGTGTGGGGGCAGGTGGTACCGGCCAGCAGGGGGCTCAGACATCCCTGGATTGGTCCAGAAGAGAAACAGGCCTGGCTGGGGAACCTTCCCCTGCAGTGTCAGGACCTGGGGGCAGCTCTGCAGGCCTGAGATGGCCCTGTGCCCTGTCCCCAGACAGCCCTGCCAGCTTTTCTCCCCCCTCACCCCCAGCAGCAGGCTAAGAAGACCCAGTCTGGGCATCTTGGTGACCCTTCCCTCACCAGGATGCCCAGGCCTGAGCCAGGCTCCAGCGAGGCCAGTAGTACAGTCTCCATTTGGTTTAAAGGTCCCTAGGGTGCAGAGGATTTGGGGGGCAGCAGCTCCTTGGGGTCTCACCCCCACACCCAGCCACCCGCCCACCTCGCCACCTGCCGCGCTATAGCACGTTGTAGTAGGCCATCTCCTTCATGGCCTGCCCGGCCAGAGCGCCGGCCTCGGTGCTGCCATCCATGCCACCATAGGAGTAGGCGTTGTCCTCGAAGTCCTCCAGCTCCTGCTGGCCATCGAGTTCTGAGGGGTCAGGGCCTGCCAGCTCCATCATGGGGTCTGCAAGAGAGAGGTGAAGTGAGGCTTGGATGCTGTCCTAGGGGGTACCTCTGCTTCCCAGATTCCCCAGGGCCCAGACTTTTGGGTCCCTAAAGCTATGGGTGCAGGTGCTGTGCTAACAGTGAGGGTCCTTGGGGGACTGGTGGGTCTGGCCTTGAAGACGTTGAGACACACTGCAGTGTGCCAAGTCCCTCTCCCTCAGTCCTTCCAGCTTCTCCAAGCTCCCCTGCTGTGTGAAAAGCCTGATTCCCTTTCCCAAATGTCCCACAACACCACACCACTCACTGGGCATGCCGCATGCCAGGCCTTTCACAGACCTCATCCTACCCAGTGCTCACAACACACTAGGCAAATCAGAGGTTGTGCCTGTAGGAGGTGCATCAGCTGGCAGAGGGTTTGAACCTCCAGTGGCCGAGGGAGCAGCTTCTCCCTGACCTCTACCTGAGACAGTGCTTAGACCAGGCCCTCCCTGTGGTGTCTTGGGGCCTGGGGCCTGGTCCTCCAGGGACAGATGCACAGTCACAAATGCACATGTATGCTTGCTCACACACACACACACACACACACACACATACACACACATCCAAGGTAGGTTAACATGAGGCAGGGCCTTCAGGAGATCTCTTATCATCATGTCATGTTGAAATCTGAGCATAGAGTCCTACTGGTGGGAACAAAGTCAGGTAGAACCACTCCACAGAAGGAGGCAGGGTGGGACGTGGGGGTCTTGAGGCTCCCTTCTGTGTCTTCTGCCCTGTCTACTGTTTTGGGGGAGCAGACCTCTCAGCCCATGGGGTGGCCCTGACAAGTCCACAGCTCGGTTTGCAACCTTGATACTGAATATCTTGGGCCAGAAGTTTTTGTTCCTGGGCTGACCTGTGACTGCACCCCTTTCCCCTGGCCACTAAATGCCAGTAGTGTCACCCAAGTTGCGACAACCACTGTTACCTGTGGGCGTACCACCCCCAGCTGGGAGCCATGAGTCTAAGGGAAACCCCACCCTCTACCTGTGAGTGCACAGGAGTTAGCATGTGGCCTAATTCTGGCCAGTGGGTCAGCAGGAAATGCTCACTGCAAGCTTTTAGGTCGTTCTATGAATTTCAAAGAGCTGAGGGGAGTGTGCTATCTTTCATGGGGTGTGACCAAGGAAGCGGTGTACCGCGATGGCTACTGGCAGTCATGGCTCTAAAAACAAGCTAAATAAAGTACCTTGGGAAAACTGCCACCTCAGGATCCCTGTGCCCACTATTACATCTTGGTCCTGTCTAACTGGCTCTGGGGAAGGACACTGGTCCACCTCTACCTTCCCAACTATAAGGTGACCCTGAGAAGTGTGCATGGCCTTTGTCTGTACACAAGAGGCAGAGGATGGAGACCAGCCCTGCCAGCCCAGGCTCTGCTCTTTTCCAGTCTGGGGGCCACAGGAAGGCTGCGATCCTATGCATCCCTGGTTACTGCCTCCTGGGGAGATCTGGTTCCATGACCACCTGGGAACGGGGGAGAAGAGACAGTGTCTGGATGGCTCTAGTTATTTTTACAAGGGCAAGGTCTTCTCCGTCCCTCCAGGAGTGCATGACATGATGGGTCTGGTGGAACAACAGCTCTCAAACTTCTGTACATGGAACCCAAAGTGCTGATCCCCAGCAGCTACATTCCAGAACCTCTGGGGTCCAGACCCAGGCATCAGCATTTAAAAATTTCCTCAAGTAACTCACAAGACCCAGTTCTGTTGGATCCAAGCTAGATCAGAGGGGCCCAAGCGAGGCCCCTGATAGCAGCATTGGTGAGACCTGGGAATTGTCAGAAATGCAGACCTCCTCAATCTGAAACTCCTGGGGTGGGCTGGGCAATTTATTTTAACAAGCCCTCCAGCTCCTCAGCGTTTACTGTGTGGGAGGCTGAGGCAGGAGGATCACAGGTTCAAGCCCATCCTGGGCAATTTAGTGATTTGATGAGACCCTACTTTAAATTAAAAAAGGACTGGACATGTAGCTCAGTGCAAAGGTCATAGGTTAAAAAAAACCTAAAAAAACAAAACTCTGTGCATCAAATCATCCAGGGGTCTTTTTGATTAGCAGCTCTGGGCAGGGCTGGAGCTTACATTTCTATCAAGATCTGGGGCGGTGCTACAATACCGATGCTCATCATGAAGGGCCTACTGAGAGCACCGTAGCAAAGATCCTCTTTAACCTCAGGAGCCTTCTATGTATTATTATTATTATTATTTGACTTGTTTTTTTGAGACAGGGTCTCAGGCTGGCCTTGAATTGAGGCAATCCTCAAGTTCCTCAGGCACCTGCCTGAGCCTCCCTAGTACTAGAATTCTAGGCGTGCATCACTATTCCTGACAGAAGCCTTCTCAGTAGACTACCGAGATACAAAACAAACCCAAAGCAGCTCCTGTCAAAAACCCCAGGCATTCTGGGTCAGCTGTGCCCAAGCCAAGCTCAGGGTTATGGCAGCGCTTTCGGTTTCGGCAAACCATCACACACAGCTGCTGCTGTGGAAGCTCCGGCCACACGAAGAGCCTTCACCAAGCACCCTGGGCTCCCTCTTCCCACACATTCCTGAGGTGGCCTTGCCCACAGGGAGGCCAGAGAGACTGGGGGTCAGCTCTGGGTGGCACTTATAGCAGAAGAGCCTTGGTACTTCTCACCAGAGCTGGAGGAAGGGCTTCTGCTGACAGTGGATTTTCCTAACAAACAGCTTTGGAGCTGCGTCCTCCTGCATATGTGGGTTACACTCACTCTGGCAAGCACTGTGAACAGCAATTGGCTGTGTTACCCTCTTTGCTCTGGCTGCTGGGAAGCTCACCCCTCTCCTCCACGGTGACCTCACTGGGCTTTCCCTTATCTTTCCAGGTGCTGTGTCCCCAACCCCATTACTTTCCTTCCCATCTGCTTATTTTAAATGTTATCTCCGTCGCTTCCTCTGGGTTGCGATCTTGTCTGTTACCTAACTCTCTGTCCTTTGGTTTCTGCAGCTGTAGGTTGGGGTGATAACAGACCAGGATCACTGTGAGGATCACATGAGTTAAACAGCAGTCAGTAAGTGGAAGTTACTGCTTTTATTATTGTTTTTGTGAGCCCAGGGGAGCCCTTGCAAGAAGACACAGATGCCTGCCACCATCACCAGGCCAGCCCTCTTGGGTCACTCCACTCTGGCCCTGAGCCTGCTCCAGGCAGCTCTCAGCCTTGGCCAGCTGCCCCTTGGCCCTACCCAGATGAGGGGCTGCTGAGGCTGTGGAGCTAGAGTCACCCCTGCTCTGTCCCCTGCATTCAGCCCACCCACCTTGGCTGTCCAGGCCGATGTCCATGACGCCGTGCTTGACCTTCATGTGCCGGCTCAGGTTGCCCTTGAGGTTGAACTTGCTGGAGCAGTAGGGACACTTGAAGGGCTTGCTGCCCGCGTGCAGGTGCATGTGGCCCAGCAGGTTGTACATGCGGTTGAAGGACTTGCCGCATACCTGCAACACCCAGGTGCTGTCAGCCCGAGGACCGGCCGACCCCCGCCCACTGCTGGTGTTCAGAGCCCATTGTGATGGACGGCACCTCTGCTGTCCTTTCCTGTGTGGCCCCAGGGCCCAACAGGCAGAGAAACAGGCTGTTCTTCAGGACAGGGGTCACCAGAAACAGCACAGATCTCTGCCACCCAGAGTCCTGGACCTGGGCCCTCAGTGCTGCGCCACGACCTTCGGCAAGGTCTCCAGCTCCAGAGAAGTCTCAATGGCAACATCTGGGCCTGGGACCCCAGCTCTCCCAGCCTCCCCTCAGGGATCACCCTACCTTGCACTTGAATGGCTTCACAGGCGAGTGTACAATCATGTGGGTCTTGAGGGTCTGCTTCTGCACGAAGGTCTTGAAGCAGATGTGGCACTGGTAGGGCCGGACGCTGGTGTGGATCAGCATGTGCCGCTTCATGTTGGCCTGCAGGGTGAACTCCCGGCCACACACCTCACATTTGAACTCCTTCACGCCCTGCGGGGAGAGGCGAGGTCAGGGCCACCACCAGGGGAAGTGATTCCGCCTGGGGGTAAGGCTTCGGGGCCATGGGGGTCCAGAGGCACAGTAGGGACCTGTCTCCTCCGGACCACCTGCTCAAAACCACCAGGAGAGAGCAGGCAGGCCGCTCACTCCAGGAAGCCTTCAGGAAAGGTGGAGATGCTGTAAAGCCTTCCGGTTTCTAGCTGAGCACACACAGTGGGTGTGTGTGCAGGTCCGTGCCAGCACCACACCTGCTACAAGCCAGCACCCAGAGACTGCTGTCTTGGGGACACATCCTTCACCTGGTGGCCCTGGCCTACTCCATCACTGAAGGACATGTGTATGTTTTGCTCCTCAGTGATGCCTCCTGGTGGTCTTTTTGGTCCACAGCCCCTTGAGATTAAAGCTATGACCCCCACCACAGGAAAATGACAAACACCCAGGACTATATGGACTCAAGTTCTCAACACCTCAAAGATCATCCAGTGACCCCTTGAGAGGTATCTTCTAACCCTCCCTGGGGACAAGGGCCACCTGCAGTTCTTGTTCCCATGTGGCCTCTCAACCTCCTCCCCGGAGTCTAATGCTGTGTGGACTGTGGTGGTCTGGGAAGTCTTATTGTCCACAGGTGTCCCCTGGTGATTCTTATCACCTATAGCTCTGGGACACTCAGATTTGGGAGATCCTCAGGCTTGGGGTCTCATGCTTCCCTGGGTGAACTCTGTCTCCATCTGCAGTCTGGAAGAGTTGGGGTCAAAGCTGGGAGCCATCCTCTCCTTGGCAAGCAGGTAACTTAAGAGGAGCTCAATGGGACAGATGTGTGTCCACAGATACAGCTACTGCCCAAATGCTTATCCTGTACAACTATTCTACATTTTACGGACCCTTGTTCCTTTCTCTTAGCATCCTAGAAAGATGTCACACATGTGCTTGGCCACCAGGGGGCCCTGCTACCCAGGAGTCTGAGCACATGTGCATGGTGTACAGATTTAGGCTGATGCTACAGGGATGTTTTCAGTTTTATTAGCTTTCTTTTCCGTACTGGGGATAGAACTCAGGACCTTAAACTTTCGAGGCAGAATCAGTGTCACTGACCTAAATCCCCAGCCCCTGGTTTTATTAGCTTTTGAGTTTTGCTCTTAGCTTTTCTTCAAAGTATTTATCTTTTAATGCTGTGCTCACTTGCGGGGATTTTGAGTCGTCTAGTAGAGGAGAAAGAGGGCAAATACAGCAGCATATGGACCATCTCCTCCGCTCTCTCGGACAACCCGTCCCCGAATCTGTGCAGTGTTTGGCAGCTGCCTAACTGACTGGAAGAGCCTTGGCAGTGACACCTGCCAAGATCATCCCTGTCCCAGCAGAGGGAGCCCTCAGGGCCGGGCTGGTGGGCTGCTACTCCCCACTCCCTATCATGTCCCTGGCGACAGCTGGGCCCCACGGAGAGCACCTTGGCCACCTCAAGCAGGAGGAAGTGCCCTAAAGGGTCAGCCATAGACAGACAGGGGCCTTGGGCCCTGAGAGGCCTTGTTTTGCCTGCCTGGACCTGAGGGCCTTGAGGAGGGCACGCCGTGGAGACAGGTCCAGGTTAGGTCTGGGATGCGGTGAAGCAGGCTGCTCAGTCTTCTGCCTTCACAAACTGTTTTGCCTCACTTAGCCACACTCTAGAACCACTTGCACTGTCTCAAATGCTTTACTTCCTTCTCTTCCCCTTACAACCCAAGGTATCTGGCTCACTCCTAAAGGGAGCCACAAGTTTTGATGCACTTTGTACAGAGGGGAAGGGGTGCACTTCTGGCCATGACACCCATCTCCCTGTGGCGTCCTGCCCTCTCTCAGGCCTCAGGCCCCCGTTACTTCAGTGATTCTTAGACTGCGTTCCTACACTTCACTCAGAAACTTTTTTTTTGGACACCGGGTCTCACTATGTAGTTCAGATTGGCCTTGAACTATGTAGCCCAGGCTGGCCTCAAACCCACAATGATCTTCTTGCCTCAGCCTCCTGAGTGCTGGAATTATAAGTAAAGTTTTACTATTCATTAATTGAGACAGGGTCTAGTGATGTAGTCCAGGTTGGCCTTGAACTTGGGATCCTCCTGCCTCAGCCTCCTTAGTGCTGGGATTACAGGTATGTGCTACCACACCTGGCTAAAGTTTTTTTTTTTTTTAATTCCAGGGATCAAACTCAGGACCTTGAGCTCACAACACAGGTGGTAGAACCATTGAGCCTAAAGTTTTACTGTGATATTTTAAAAAACCAATTCCAGCTATGTGTTACACCTGTAATCCCTCTTACTTGGGAGGCTGAAAGAGGCAATAGGATTTCAAGTTTGAGGTTGGCTTGGGAAACTTACTGAGACTCTAACTCAAAACAAAATTTAAAAAGGGGCTTGGGATGTAGCTCAATAGCAAAGGACTTGCCTAGCATGTGTGAGGCCCTGAATTTGATCCTAAGCCCCTTAAAAAAGGAAAATCTAATTTCAATTATATTTCTAATACTCATCAAGATAAATTTGTACAGGAAAAAATCTTCCTTCCTACCTTTTTTTTTTTTTGTACTACAGGGGACTGAACATAGGACTTCTGCTCTGAGCTGCACCCTTAACCCTTTATTATTTTGAGACAGGGTCTTGCTAAATCACTAGGTTACCAAGGCTGGGCTTGAACTTATGATGTGCCTGCCTCAGCCTCCCAGAGTGCGGAAGTTGCCTGCATCCCCAAGCCCAGCTATCCTAATGCTTTACCAACAACTGCTGGTGTGTACCCCAGTTAAGCCGTCTCATCCGGGGCTCTGAGGGTCCCGGATGAAGTGGGCAGGAGGGTGGTGCCACGGGCCCCTTACCTTGTGGGTGAGTGAGTGCTGCTTGAGGTGGTGGATCTGGCTGAACTCCATGCCGCACTCGGTGCACACGAAGGGCCGCACATTCTGGTGCTTGAGCATGTGGTTCTGCAGCTGGCTGCGGTAGTGGAAGGACTTGTCACACTCGAGGCACTGATACAGGGTGGGGCCCTGGTGGGAGGCCAGGTGGCGCTTGAGCTGGGTCAGGGTGGAGAAGTCCAGGCCGCACTCGACACACACGTGGCAGCGGCCACTCTCGTGCTTCACCTCGTGGGCCTTGAGCTCGCTGGGGTAGGCGAAGCCACGGCCACAGAAGTGGCAGCTGTAGGGCTTGACCTCGGAGTGCAGCAGCATGTGGCGCTTGAGGTGGCTGGTCTGTGTGAAGGCCTTGTGGCACACCTGGCACTTGTGGGGCCGTGTGCCCTGGTGTGTGAGCAGGTGCGTCTGCAGGTGGCTGGGCTGCTTGAAGAGCTTGCTGCAGTGCGGGCACGAGTGGGGCTTGATGCCATTGTGGCCGAGGATGTGTGTCACCAGGTTGTACTTGGACGTGTAGGACTTCTCGCACATGCGGCACTGCCAGCGCTTCTGCCGGTCACCTGCCTCCACCAGGTAGGAATCATCGATCTGCACATTGATGTCCAGCCGGTCCAGCTGGGCCTTCTTGTGGCGCTCCACAGTGGAGCCTGCAGCATCCGCCTCAAACTCGCCCGCCTCCTGCCATACGAAGCCCTGCTCTGGCTTCACGGGCTCTGGGGAGGCCATGGGGGGGACCTTGGGGTCACTCAGGGGGGCCAGGTGGGGTGGCTCGAAACCACACTCCGTGGGCAAGGCCTCTGGCCCAGGCAGCTCCACGCTGGGCTCAGGGAAGCCATCCTGGCCTGGGTCGGGAAAGTGAGGGTCATAGGGGGCCACATCCAGCTCCGGCCTTGGAATTCGCGGCAGGTGCCGGACTGTCCTGGGCTTGCGGCTGAAGGCGCTGAGGTCGATCATCTTGACAGCGCTGCTTTGTACCAGGGCCTCGCAGCCACCCCCGGCTACCTCGGCAGGGGCCTCGGGTGGCCCTGCATCCTTTTCGTCCCCAGGCACAGAGACCTCATAGACCTCCTGCTCCTCTTCCTCCTCCACCTTCTCGAACTTGACCTTGGGCACCAGCCGCACAGGCGGCCGGGTCTTCCGCCGGGTGTGCTTCTCAAAGGCTGCCTCCACTTCCAGGACCTCCTCCTCCGCCGGCTCCTCCAGGGCCCGCCCATTGCAGGCCAGCTGGTAGACACTAGGGCCCGGTGGCCGGGGCTCCCCAATGGCTGCCCCAGACAGCTCAGGTCCGAGGTCTGGGTAGAAGGCTTCGGCGCTTATGGTGGCTCCGAAGAGCTCATTTTCGGAGACCAGGCCCAGCACGGCGGCCTGGGCCAAGGACAGTACCACCACGGCATCCGTCTGTGTCCCTGAGTCCATGAAGCCCTCCATCCCCTGGCGGCAGGCTAGGAGGGCATCGCTGTGAAGGAGGAGAAGGAGAAAGGTTAGCGCTGCTGGCTCGGCACCTGTGGTATGGACGAGGGCTGGGCTAACTTAGGGTGTGTCTGGCCCGATGCCTTCCTACTCTGCTCTTGGGAACAGGACACACTTGTGATTACGGGGAGCAATGATATCTCTGTGTCTACCGGCTCCTCTGTCGCCCATGGATGCTCTGCCCCACCCACCCCGCCTCAGTCTTGCTATCTATAAAATGGGGAGGGTGGGTTTCCTGAGTGGCTTTCAACCTCCATCCCTCCATCCTGCATGCCCTTGAATAAGTTCTCAGAAATGTGACTGAAAATGCAAAAAATAATGATTCGATGATTTTATTTATTTTTTGGTACCGGGAATTGAATTCGGGACCTATGTACTTTCAAGGCAGGCGGCGGAACCACTGAGCTAAATCCCCAGCCCAATGATTCTATGATTTTAAAAACTGGTTTAAAAATCCACCTACTCAAATGTGCTATGCACCAAATTCCAGCACTCAGCAGTCCTACTGGCCGTACTGCCAAGTAACTTCGCAGACTCAAGTCTGTACCACAAGGGAGGTGTTACACAAGTGTCACCGTGTGTGACACCTGGGCTGTGTGAATGGGGAAACACATACACAAAAAATTAGGTGTCCCAATGTCAATGTCTGTCATTCAGGTACTATTCTTGACTAGCTCCATGTTACACATCTAAATATCTAAATTTACACTGATGAAAATGTGGCTTTTATCTGATTTATACATCTGGCTCCCTGACGGCCACCAGGCTTGAGACCCTGTTGTGTCCATGAACAGTCTCTAATCTCAGGTTCTGGTAAACTGTGCCCTCCAGCTCAGGTACAAACCCCAGCAGAAGGTTTCCAAGTTCAGGCCCAGCCTGGTCAATTAGTGAAGAGGTTGTCTCAATAAAAATAAAAGGGCTGGTGCCGCTGCCTGCCTCACAAGCACAAGGTCCAAAATTCAATCCCCGGTACAAAATAAACAAAGAAAAACATGTAGCTCAGTGTGGAGGCCCTGGGTTCCATCCTCAGTACTGGGAAAATAAGGTCCCCCTGCCTCCTGGGCCATCCCCAGGCCTGTGGATGTGTGGGGCTCCTCCAGGGCTCAGGTACCCAGGTCCCTAACCCTGCCTGGCTCTGTGCGCAGCTCATGCAAGGCAACCCTGGACTCCAGGGCAGCCACATGGCAGCCAGCAGTTCTTCCTGAGGAAACCAGCCCAGGCCAGTGGCACCCTCCCTCCGCCAGCTTCCTTTTCCTGCGGCTGCCTAAAAATACCCCACACACAGGCATTTAGCCTCCTTGGAAGAGACACTGAAAATTACACCATCAAGCTTCAAGTGGGGCTCTCAGACAGGGGGAGAGGCTTTTGGGGGTCCCCCCACCCACATGCCAGCTGCTGTAAAGGACACAAGACCAGGGATCTGCAGACAGCCGGGCTTTAGGTCCCAGCTCAATCACTCACAAGTGACTAGGCAAAGTCACTTCAAATCACTTCTGTACCTCAGTTTCTCCATCTAGAGAATGGGGATGAGACATCCACCCAGGCAAAGGTGTGCAGCAGGCCCCTGAGGTCATACGGCAGCTGAAGGGACTTAGCTCATCACAGAGCTAACCTGGTGTGAAGAGCTCCTGACACAGCCCTGGAGCTGAGATGGCCCATTCTTGGGCCGTCAGCAAACCTTCGGGGACACCGAGGACAACCCCAGGACAAGAGCTCAGCGCTCAGTGGTGGTCCCGATGTGTGAACCCTTGCTGCGAGGCAGGCCCTGTGCATGGAGAGAGCAAGCTGAGCCAGGAGGGCCCTGTCCCTGCCAGCCCACAGAGGGGATCCACTGTGTGCACCACTGCTGCCCATTTCCTGAGCAAGCTGGGGAGCGCGGCCACCTCCTGTCACCGCAGCCTCTGACGCAGCAGCCAGCAGCAGCCCTCCTGTCTGCTGTGGCTTTGAGCAAACAATGCACTCAGCATTTTTTTCTAGACTTCCCCAAAGAGGAGGAACTAAGCACCACAGTGAGGCCTGTACTTGGGGCTGGGTACTGGGCTCTGAGTTCAAATCTGAGCTCTGCAGTTAATTAGCCGGGTGACCTCTGGCAAGTCCAGACTTATCCAAGCCACAAACACGGGCCAAAGAGCCCAGCTTGTCGTTAGCTCCGGCTTCACGGAGCCATTTAACCCTGAAGCAATCCCGTAGGGTGTGGAAGTGGAGCCCTGCTCCCACTATCCTGTCCGTGGGGCAGAGCGGGGTCTGCAGCCGGACCTCCTCAGTAGCCGGGAGCTGGCTGGTTGCCAGAGTCCAGCAGGAGCACCCGCTCCAGACCTGAGCCTCCACCCTGTCATCTTCCATCTGTCCTGGCACACGAAGCTAGGTGGAGGGGATTGGGCCCTGAGGGTCTCTGGGTTCACCTGGCCAGCAGGTGCTGCTTCCTTTCAAGGGGACAGGCACTTGCTTGAGCCCTGCTCCCGTGCTGTCCTGTCCCAGGCAGGTGCGCACGTGTACACATGTGAGAGAGAGGACAGAGACTCTGTCCTGCACCTCCCCATAGGGGCCTTCCTGCTTTCTACACTGCACAGTGAGTAGAATCTGTCCTCTCCCCTTGGGCCAGCGTCTGGGTTCCTCTTCCCCAGGCCACAGTTCCTTCTCATAGGCTGTGGCCCTGGTGCTTCATGTCCAGTGGGCTGCCCAGGGCAGGAGCAGAGTCTGCCAGGAGCCTCCAGGCCCTGCAGCCCCCGGCCTAGGGCCCTGGTGATCTCCTGTCTCAGGGCAAGGCCCACACCACGTGGGCTTCTGACAGCCCTGGGCCTTCCAGGGCCTGGGCTGGTGATACCAGGCATCCCTCAGCTCCCTGCAGCTCAACCTCCTACCGGTGCTCTGGAGTCCCCAGGGTTGAGAGACAGTAAATGGTACACACAGGGAGAGTGGAACAGGAACTGGCAGAGTGTGGATGTGCTAGGTGAGGGGAGGTCGTGGAGGGAGACACATAGAGATGGGGGCGCAGGGGAGCCAGAGCTGGGAGGAAGACAGAGGAAGGAGGGGGGGCAATAGGGAGGCCAAGAAACAAAAACGGGAGGGGGAGGGGACACCAGAAGACAAGACTGCCCTACTTCCCTGGTTTTAGCATCGCCCCTGGGGCCAGCCCCGCCCCTAGGGAGGGGCCCACAGGAGACCTTCCCACCCCACGTCTCTCACTGCTACTTCACTGACTGCTTTGCCTGCTTTTCCAGGGTACCACAGTTCTCATAACCACTGAAGACAGCCCTGTGACCCTGGACAAGTCCCCCCACCCCGCCTCGGTGTGCTCATCTGTAACATGGGCACAAGGCCCACTTGGAACATTTTGCCTACCTGCCAGTGGTACCAGGTGCCCTCCTCAAAATGCAGGGTGCCTGCTCTCATCCCCCAGTTCCCTCCTGTGGAGCCCCCTTCACATCCTGGCCCGGCTTAGGGTTGGTGAGGCAAGAGCCGTTTTGAACCAAAAAGGACACGGTGACTCGGATCTGCTTTGACAAACTCCCAGCACCAGAGAGACTGTCCACAAGCTGCTGAGGACACAGGACACTCACCGTGACTGGCTTAGTTTGATGACCACTCCCCGAGGCCTGGTGGGTCCTGGCTCCCTGGTGCAACCTCAATAGTGACCAGGGCTTATGCTGGGGACAGGTTTGCTTTTTGGGGGTGGAACTGGGTATTGAACCCAGGGCCTTTCCACTGAACGACACCCCCAGGCCTTTTTTATTTTTATTTTTGAGATAGGGTCTTGCTAGGTCACTAAGCTGCCCAGGCTGGGCTTTAACCTGTGGTCTTCCTGCCTTAGCATCGCAGACTACTGGGATTGTAGGTGTGTGCCCAGCTCCAGGTCTATCCTTTGGTCCCTTGATGATGGCCTTGAATCACCAGGATCTAAAATGCATGCAACTGAGCCACTGAATTAACACACAGTGACAGTGCTCATCAGGCAGCAGGTAGCATACACAATGGGGGCAAAATAAAGCTCCTGCCCTCCTGGGGCTAACCTGACAGGGCTGACCCTGCATGACACTGCCGGCCCAAGTGACACTCAAGCCCCTTGGAAGTGACCTGCTTTCCCTTTCTGGCCCATTTCCAGCTGTGCTATGCCCTTTGCCCCAAGGAGGGAGAGGGAATTCCGGGGTCTGGATGGCTGAGAACTCGCACAGGCTCCACCTGGCAGTGAGGCCGCCTGTTTCCACTACTGTCCTCCCCGCGGACCTGGAGGTGCACTCTGCTTGCGTGCTGGGGAAAAGGCAGAAGCGAGAGCCCAATGCTTGTGCAAGCCACGGCTCCGTCAGTCTCACTTCTGCTCAATCACACGGCCTGGGCCTGTGGTGCCAGGGGGCTGGGTGAAGGGGTGGGCTGGCCCAGGGGAAGTGTGTGAGTCTGTTCCTCTCTGGATTCACTCTCTGCCTCAGCTTCCCCTTTTCTCGGTGGACAGATTCGCTGAAGCCAGAGTGGCTGGACCACCAACCACACAGGGGTCTGATGCCCGCCTCTCCACTTGATGCTCCCCTTCCCTTCCTCATTTTTAAATGTGGTCTTACTAAGCCGCCCAGGCTGGCCTTGAATTTCTGCTTCAGCCTTCTAAGTAGTTGGGACTATAAGTATGGACTACTTACTATGCCTGACTTAGCTCCTTTTTAAAATATAAGGGAACTTTGGTTCAGGGAGGGAAGAGACTGGTTCAAAGTCCCACAGTGAGATGGTACAGAGTAAGGCCTAGAACGCAGGCCTCTAGACTGGCCACTGCCTCTCAGCCGTGTGCTGTGGGATGATGTTCCTACGCCTCAGCCCACAGCTGTCCTGTCAGGCACCTCTCCTACCCCTGGGGTGGCTGGCCTTGGCCAGGACTGCCCTTCCCTGGCACTAGAAATTCCCTGGGATTTTCCTCCCCTGTGGCATCATAACCACCTTCCAGGAAGCGTTCTGGGGCAGGCCAAGGTCCCTGCCCGAGACCATCACTGGGTGGCTGAGTTT